TGGTTGCTCTCCTCTGGACATGCTCCAGCAATGCAACGTCTTTCTTGGAGTGAGAGGCCCAAAACTGAACCCATTATTTGAGGTGCAGCCTCACCAGCACCGAGTACAGGGGCACGATCACTTCCCTACTCCTGCTGGCCACACCATTCCTGATCCAAGCCAGGATGCCATTGGCCTTCTTGGCCAACATCACAGGGAAGGTACTGTTACTCATTGCTTTGTGCTGACAAAATATGTTTAAAGCTACACAGCCCTTAACCGTGTTAAGAGGGGGAAAAGTGAGACACTGAAGAAGTACTGAGATAACGGAGTCTTTCCTTGGATGCAGGAGGACTGGGGTTAAAGTCAAGCAAGTCCTGAGGCTGTTGCTTTACACAAGTGAATGTTTCGTGGGTTTGATTTTTTTTTTCCTCTTGTGTAGCCAGATTATGAGAGTGTTTAGCAATCCAAAAGGAGCTCTTCATTTAATGGGTCCCTGGGATGTATCCCAAGGCTCAGAAAGTACTTTGAAACCTTTAGGTAAAAGGAAGTATGTGTTAATTGTTAATTAGTGGATGTGTAGTTCTACCCAGATTTTATTATTGCTGTATGATCAAGAGTAAGCAGCACTCCTTGCTTTCATGATCAGTCTGAAACCGGAAGACACACTAAAGTTCCACAGTGTTTGAGCAGTAAAATTAGACTTTGTTGTTGTTGATTCCTTATGCAGGTGTGGCGCTTTGGAGCGCTGATCTCAAGGGGGTGGACAGGCATTCAGTTGAAGACAGTCCCATGCCTGGAAAGAGCTCGCAGCTCCTCGTTAGTAGTAGTATTCTGCTGTTTTGCTAATTCATCTTTGGGTTTGTGCTTAGCAGCAGCACTTATTTTAATAGCGTTAGATTATGAATTACTCTGTGGAGAAGTTCTCAGCAGTGTGGATTTTAAAAGGAGGCAGGAAGGAAGAAGGAGAGAGCAGGGAAAAAATAGAATAGAAATTTCCCTCTGTCCTTTTCCAGCTGACTGGGAACGGGTTGAAAGTAGTCCCAAGGCATGACATAGCATCTATTAATTCTGGGAGCAATGCTCCACACATGGCTAATGATCCACTGTATGGATTAATTTCCTTTGGTTTCAACAGCTTAGTTCTGAGCATTAGAATGATGGATTTGTCTTGATCCTGAAGGCTTCCATTTGAAAGTCAAAACTTCTTGTGGAAGAATGCTTAACCCTGTTAACTCCTGCAGTAAGCTTCCTGCCACCCAAAAGGGCAGACAGCCAGGCAGAGGGGCTCAGGAGGAAGTAAGCCCACATAAGTCTTTACCTGGGTGCAAGGAAAAATGGCAC